GACACACAGTAGACATCATCCATTCAGCCCTGGAGTCTGGGAAGCTCCAGATGCTGGCGCTGCCGGCCTCTGCAGCCTTTCGAGGAGGACAGACTCCCTCCAGAAGGACTCGGGTTTGGTGGTATGAGCCGCGCCCCTCCTCCTGACAGGGCTTCAGGTTCACGCCCAAGCCGGCCTGGGTATGACTCACCTCCTTACACTTCTTGCACAACAGACTCGACACTGTGCCCAGCGGTTGGTTAACACGGGGGTCTTGCCAGCTTTTCCCCAGGGCTGGCCTTGAACGGTTATCTTGATCTCTGCCTCCTGAGCAACTGCCCAAGACCCCACTTCTAAATATCCCTGCAACGAGGATCACGCTGCAGTTTTCCAGGGGACACATTCAAACCATGTCGTATTTCAAACTAAGTAAAATAAGCTGGTCATAAAGGATGTGAATCCACTCTTAGGGGTTTCCTGGCCTCGAATTCATAGACAAAGTGTAAGTGGTGGCTGTCAGATCAGGAAGAAGGAACAGGGTTGGGTTTAAAGTAAACAAATGAGTGGCCAGTGACAATTGCGCAATACTGATGGTAATGCATACTGCTAACTGCGCTTAAATTGTAAGCTTCCCTTTGTATATACTTTAACATAAAAGAATAAAAACCTGGCTGTGCATTTCTCCCAAAACAGCAAATGTTTTAAGAAGTCACAACCACCATGGAAGCAGCTGGATCACCCTTTATTGTGACCCTCATCTGGTTGAAGGTGACAGCTGAAGTCCTGCTTTCCAAGTCAGCTGCTGCCTTTCTAAAGCACCAGGTGCTGACATTGACATTTGTTTCTCCTCCTGTGATTCTGAAGGGTCTTGAATCAGGATTTAGAATTAGGTGAAGTCCCCCCCCCCCAGCAGGTGATTCCCCCAGGTCTCTGTCCATAGTGCATCTGAAGTCACTTCTTCAGAGAGGCCAGGTAGGCATACCAGAACAAAGCTGCCAGGTTGGCAAAGAGCACGCGGAACTGCCAAGAGAACAGGTGGGGGGTGGTAAGCAGAAGGCCTGACCCTTACCCAAGAAACCAGAGAAAAGGAGTTGTACTTCTTACTGAACACTTAAGCTTGGGACTGCTCCCTCCCTGGGGCAGGCCACTGTGTAAAACCCACATGGCACCCAGCCTGCCCCTGCTCCCCTGCCTGCCTCTCACATGACCTGTCTTCTGCTCCGACCCCATGGCACTCATTTTAATCTGGACTTAATCCCACCCCTGTCACCTTTAGTCAGGTGCTGTCTATCCTGGCAAGTAGCTCCATGTCTTCCTTGCTAATCACAGGTCTAGAGCAGTGGGGCACACAGTAGCTGTTCCGTGAATACTGCTGAACAATGTCTCTTCCCCTGTTTTCTGGCCTCTGCACCCCTCCATATGCTGGGAGTCCTAAATTCTCTTCTGTGTTGGCTCAGAACTCCTGAAAGCCTCTGATTCCTCTCTATAAGGTCCTGTGGTTGCATTCTAAAAACTCCTGCCTCCTAGTTCTGCCTCCTCAGAGGCTGAGGACAGGTGAACCAGCTGCAGGCCTATGCCAGGAGCAAATCAACCCTCTGACTGGCCCCCTCTGCCCAGAATCCTCTCACCCATCAACCTACTCTCCTGACCTCTTTACTTCCCCCTCTTCATCCCCCTCAACTAACCAGCCTACCTCCACTCCTCAGACTCAGAACAAACAGATGGTGGCCCTGTTCCATGCCCACTGGAGTGCCTTTTCTGTCACAAGGGAAGGCCCTAAGCTAAGGAAAACTGCATGCTCAGGTCAGGGAAGCTCCTGGTCCACAGGGTGGCTCCAGGGAACCCCTTTTTCAGATGTGTGTCCACCTGTCCCACAATGAGCAGTATTCTGTGAACGCCTCTTTGAGCACTTGTGCCTCTTGAGCTTCAAAGTGCCTCTCCACCCCAGCCCTCCTTCTGTTCCTCCCTGCCTCTGCACCGACCCCTCAGTCGAGTCCAGAGACCCTGTGACTGATGTACTTCCTGTCTCCCCTTCCTCATTCTCCCAATTTCCTTTCCCCATCTCCTTATGTCTTGAAACGGTCTCATGATGGAGCCCAGGATCACCTCAATTTCATGATTCTCCTGTCTCAGCCCCCCAAGATCCTGGACTGCAGGTGTACACCACAGTGCCTAGCTAGGTTTGTGATATCTTGTGTGCCTCCAACCCACTCCATTTGAAGAATCTGGCTTCAACCCCATCTAGTGATGACATGTTCTCAGGAAGGGTGCTGATAAGGTCACTGGCCTCACACTTCTGTTCCTCTTGAATATCCCACAGCTTCCACTATGCCTGACCAGCCCTTTGTCAGGCACTATGTTCCCTGGTTTTCTGCTGCTGCTTAGGATGTATGATGTGATGACACATGAATGCGTGTGCTCTGTATGTACAGGAATGTGTGCACATACGGTGCTAAGTGGTATGAATGTAAATGTGTGGTGGATGTGGCGCGTGTAGGTATGTTTGTGTGCAGTGTGTGTGTTTTGGGTGTGGTATGTGGGCTGGGGGGTGGCCTGCCACCACATTCCCCCATCCCACCAGGTCCTCAGCAGGGTAGCTCCCTCCAGAGGAGGGTTCCCAGGGCGGCCTGATGAGGGCACCGGCCCTTCCCCTCTGCACTGTGCAAAAATGTAGCTGACTTTCCTTCTGGATTTTGAACTTGGCAAAACTCCTGGTATCCAAGCACAACTCCAGTGAGTTCCCTAGCCAACACTGGGAAGACGAGGAAGCCTTGCTCTGTGAGCCCTTTTCCCTTGAGTTGGGTGTCTAGGGGACGCCGATAGGTGAAGCCTGGCGAGAGGGTAGCTGCTATGCAGCCTCTGCAGCAGCACTGTTCTCCACCATCCAAATGGAGCCCAGAAACACAGGCCTGCCGCTCTCCACCAGTAGCCCCTGTGCTCCAAGTTCCCCAAGAGGAACTGCTCTGTCAGGCCTCACCCGGCTCTACTGTTCCAGCTTGCTTACTACCGTTTCTGAGCTCAAATGACCCAGGATGTTTCCATTACTTACCAGAAAGCTCCAGAAATTGCTAAATGAATGGATGAGACTGACTGCTTAGCTCCAAATCTACAGCACAAGTGCAGGGCTGGACCAGGAATCGGAATTTTATCGAAAGCAAGGCTTGAGAGAAACTACAGCCTGCCAAAGGAAAGCCCAGCAAGGCTGTGGGAAACAAGGCCGCCCTCACCTGCAGAGGTACGTAGTTGATGTTAATAAACTGCACGGGTGTCCACACCCTCCAGTTCATCTGAAGCGCAGGCCAGAAGCCACTCTTCATCCGGGCAGCGAAGGCATCAGCGCCCTTCCCCTGTAAATGGGGCAGCTGTGAGAACGATTGACCTGCTCTCTACTTCAGCTGGAAGAGACTCTTGGATTTGTCTGCCCTAGCCAACTTCAAACCAGGATCCTCTGATCTCAGTAGCTAGGATCTGAGTACCTAGCATTACAGGTATGAACCACTGGCACCCAGCCTAGGACTCTTAATACATGTAAATACACATGTAAAAAAATAAAACCTTAATAAAAATAAGAAAAGCAGATAAAAGAAATACATGTAGCAGATAAGCAAATGATATACAACATTATAAAGATACACAAATTGAGGAAGTAGAGCTGTGGCTCAAAGTGGTAGAACACTAGCCTTGAGCAAAAAAGCTTAGGGATAGCACCCAGGCCCTGGGTTCAAGCCCCATGAATGACAAAAAAACAAAACAAAAAACTTTAAAAACCAGTACTGGTGGCTCACACCTGTAATCCTAGATACTCAGGAAGCTGAGATGTGAGGATTGTGGTTCAAAGCCAGCCTGGACAGGAAAGTCCATGACAATCTTATCTCCAATTAACCACCAAAAAATGGGGAAGTGGCGCTTTTAAGTGGTAGAGCACTAGTCTTGAGCATAAGAGTTCAGGGACAGCACCCAGGCCCTGAGTTCAAGCTCCACAGCAGAGGAGAAGGAGGACAACGAGGAGGAAGAATAGAAGAAGCAGAAGAGGAGGAGGAGGAGGGAGGAGGCGAAGGAGGGAGAGGGGGAGGAAAAAGAAAAGACACAGGGGCTGGGAAGGTGGCTCAGTGGTAGAGCGCTTGCCTTGCATGCATGAGGCCCTGGGTTCAATTCTCAGCACCACATAGCAGAAAAACCTGGAAGTGGTGCTGTGGCTCAAGTGGTAGAGCACTAGCCTTGAGCTGAAGAGCTGAGGGACAGCGTCCAGGCCCAGAGTTCAGGCCCCACGACTGGACCTCCCTCCCCCAAAAAAAAGAAAAGACACAAATTATGTTCTCACTGAAAGATTTCTGAAGTATCATAAAGGAGTCTTAAATTTTTGTACTATGGGTTGCTTCAGAACTTGGTGAAGCCAATCAGGCTTTATAAGATACAACAAAGCATACAGAACTACAAAGGAACCAATTATCAGAATATTTGGAAACAATCCTATGGTGCAATACATGTGCTGCTCTGTCAGAACACCAGTGACAAGATGTAGTAATGCACTTGTCTAATGCTCCAAGAAATCTATAGCAACTGAGATTTGGAATCAAGATGCTTGTGATTTCTACTGAGGGAAACTAAATAATGCTAATATTGCTAAGGTTTGTCTCCTACATTTTTAAGAGAGACTGTAAAACTTTAGGTTGAAAGCAGTAAAAAGCTCCCAGGACTCCCGGAAGTCCTGCCTGGAACATTAGCTCTCAGAGCCACAGTGGAAACTTCATCCAGCACAAGGCCAGGACCCACCTCCAGCAGGTTCATGAAGAGGAAGAACAGCATCAGGAAGGCTGGTGCGAAGAGCAGACGGTCTAGCAGAAGCCTCTTGACCGTGGCCAGAGGCACCTCGGGAGGGATCCAGTGTTCCATGAAGAGGTAGAAGTAGTGGCTCAGTGGTCCTGTCACAAAGAACCTGCGACCCACGGTGAGTGAGAGCCAGGCTGGTTCCCTCTGGTCCAGCTTCATCCCAAGAGCCAACCCTGGTCCTAAACCCTGCTCAGAGAACCACAGGCCTACATATATTTACTTTCTGGAAAATAATTGGGTCAGCCATTGTTTTAGCCTCATCAGAGCGAAGTCCCTCCCTCCCTCCCTCCCTCCCTAAGGTTCTGTGCCCCTGCTGCCCTACTCTCTCTGTGTGTGCCCTGCCTCTCCATGCCTGCTGCTGGCAGGGCTGTGCTGTGCACGCCTGCTGTGGCACACATGTCCCCTCTGTTCCGTGGTCTGCACAGCACAGTCAAATCTATCTGGGTATATACCCCCTTGTCATCCCCTGGAAGGCAAGCATCATCATGTCTTGTTTGTCTGTCCACTGCTGTCTGTCTGTCCCTAGACAGGCTCTGGCCCTGAGAAGCAATCAATGATGAAGAAATGGACGTGCCTCTGCGTTTCAAGCTTTTACTCAAGCAGGCCAGGGTGAAGCTGGGGCGGAGCTCTGAGATTCCAGTGTGCACCCGCAGAGGACAGAGCCCAGGAGACCCAAGCTCCAAAAAGCAGTGCTGTAGGGAATGCACTGAGTGAATTTAAATCCTGATATGGAAAGTCTAGCAGGTTCTCTGATAGTCCTTGCTGCTCAGCTGTTGGGAGTTATATGGTCTGTGGGGAGAGAGCCAAGTCTTGGGCAAAGGGAAGACTATGTGGTGGGTAAGGGTACCATCTAAGGGCACTGAACACCGCTGGCATAGGACACGGCTTTAGATGCATTAGAGACAGTAACTCCAGTCAGCATGTTTGCAGATACAAAAAAGGCATCTAAATTAATGATTACAAAACATTCATTCTAGGGCTGGGAAGGTGGCTCAGTGGCAGAGTGCTTGCCTTGTATGCAAGGCCCTGGGTTTGATTCCTCAGAACCACATAAGCAGAAAAAGCCAGAAGTGGCGCTGTAGCTCAAGAGGTAGAGTGCTAGCCTTGAGCTGAAGAGCTGAGGGACAGCGCCCAGGCCCAGAATTCAGGCCCCAGGACAAAAAAAAAAAAAAATTCATTCTAAGCCAGGCACCAATGGCTCACACCTGTAATCCTACCTACTCAGGAGGCTGAGATCTGAAGATTGCAGTTCGAAGCCAGCCCAAGCAGAAAAGTCCCCATGAGACTCTTTTTTGTTGGTGGTGGTAGTGGCCGTGGGGCTGGAACTTTGGGTTAAGAGCTATCCCTGTGCTCTTCAGCTTAAGGCAAGTGCTCTACCACTTAAGGCACAACCCCACTTCTTTTGTGGTGGCTAATTAGAGATAAGAGTCTCATGGACTTTCCTGCCCAGGCTGGCTCTGAACCTCAATCCTCAGATCTCAGCCTCCTGAGTAGCTAGGATGACAGGCGTGAGCCACCAGCGCCCGGTCCCATGAGACTCTTATTACCAATTAACCACTCAGAAACCAGAAATGGAGCTGTGGCTCAAAGTGATAAGAGTGCTAGACTTGAGCAAAGAACACAGGGACAGCACCCAGGTCCAGAGCTCAAGCCCCACAACCAAAAGTAAGGTAAGATAAAATAAATTCACTCTAGGGACTAATAAAAAATACACTGTAGCCCCTAGAATGAATGTGTGCATGCGTACATGCATGTGTTTGTGTGAGTGTTGATAAAAATAGCTGAGTGCATACACATAGTCCTAGGTCTCTGCTTGAACGCAGACATTTGGGGCCTGAGTAATATAGCAAGACCCAGTCTCATACTAACAAAGTAAAATAAATCCTGAATCACTTTGCCTTTGGAATTCAGAAAGTAGCTTGGAAAGTGATGCTTTTCAGGATATATTAGTTTTCTGAATATTTACATGGTGAAAAATAACAGAATCTAATTAGCCCTATCTGAGCTGCTTTTCCCCTTCTGTGAGTCCAGTGAGACTCTTGCAAGGTCTCTCATTCCTGAAATCGGGTTGTAGGTTCAGGTAAGTCATCTGCCCTCAGACCTCATTCAAAATGGAAACTACAATGCCAAGTGCTAATGGCTACACCTGTAATCCTAGCTGCTCAGGGGGCTGAGATCTGAGGATTGGAGTTCAAAGCCTGCCAGGGAAAACACCAGAAGTAGAGCTGTGGCTTAAAGTGTTATAGCACTAGACTTGAGCAAATAAGCCCAGAGACAGGGCCCATGCTGAGCTCAAGCCCCAAAAAGAAAGAGAAAGAAAGAAAGGAAGGAAGGAAGAAAGACCTTGCAAGCCTGATGCCCTGAGTTCGATTCCTCAGGACCACATAAGCAAAAAGAAAAAAGCTGGAAGTGGTGCTGTGGCTCAAGTGGTAGAGTGCTAGCCTTGAGCTGAAGAGCTGAGTGACAGCCCCCAGGCCCAGAGTTCAGGCCCCACGACCGGACCCAAAAAAAAAAAAAATCTGACTTTTTTCTTACGATGATTACTTCACACACCACTCAGCCATAACCCCAACCCTTTTGTTTGTATTTTACATTTCATATAGGGTCTCAAACTCCAGTCCTCTCCTGAGCAGCCAGGACTACAGCTATGCAGCCTACTTCAATGATTTTGAAAAAAAATCCAAGTAAGACTATTCCAGAACCTTGGTGTCCCGAGCCTGGCTTTGTTGTTGCCAGTTGCTGTGGGCAGCCAGTCCCTCTCTGGCACTCACCCATAAACCGCATATCTGAGAGGCCCACAGACATCTAGACTTTGAGAGTTTTCTTTCCTTTGCTTCTTCTCAATCATCTGGGCCAAGAGATTCCCAAGTGCTGACAAAATGCCGCTGTGGACAGAAAGCAATCACATGTCAGTAGCAGGCGGAGGGAGAGATGCACGTTGTGCCTGGAATTAGCAGGGTTGCTCTGAGACTGAGGGTTGGTGGGATGAATCTTCATGAAAGCAGCTCCCATGGGAAGTCCCCACATCAGAAGGTAGAAACATCAAACAGCAACACATGCACACATACTAATACCGTAAAATTTCCCTTGCTGAGCTACTGTCATCCTCCAGAATGCTACCCTTTGGGGCATCAGAAAGGTGTGTGGTTCTAAAAGGACAACAAAATTCTTACAATGACATTGTTCTGTGCTTTGACTATGGTATGGACATGTATGCACAAGTAATAAAACGATACAGAAACAAATTCACACATGCCAGGTGCCAGCATTCATACCTGTAATCCTAGCTACTCAGGAGGCTGAGATCTGAGGATCAAGGTTCAAAGCCAGCTCAAGCAGGAAAGTCTGTGAGACTCTTATTGCCAATAAACTACTCAGAAAAAGCCAGAAGTGGAGCTGTGGCTCAAGTGGTAGAGCACTAACCTTGAGCACAAAGAGGCTCAGGGACAGTGCTCAGGCCCTGGGTTCAAGCCCCAGGACCAGCAGCAATAATAATAATTAATAAAAAGTAAACTCACATAGATAAGTACAGGAAAAAAAAACTGGAATCTACTTAGCTGACTTCAAACTGTGATCTTCATATCAACGTCCTGAGTAGCTAGGATTACAACTATTGATCTGGCACCACTGTAATCCACTGATATTGCTGTGAATCGCTGGCACCCAGCCATTACCTCTTTTTTTTTTCTTTTTGGTTGTTCATGGGGCTTGAACTCTAGACCTGGACCCTGTCCTTGAGCTCTTCAGCTCAAAGGGAGCACTCTACCAGCACCATTTCCAGTTTTCTGGTGGTTTATTGGAGATAAGAGTCTCACAGACATTTCTGCCTGGGCGGGCTTTGAACCGTGATACTCAGCTCTCAGCCGCCTGAGTAGATAGGATGACAGGCGTGAGCCACCAGCATCCAGCAGCCATGACAATTCTTGATACATTTCTCTTATTCCCTGAAGTACTCCATTTACAGAACCCAAGAAGTGAGGTCTTCCCAAAGTGACCTCTCACAGTGCTCTCAGGAGAGGCGGGCACCCAAGCTGGGTCGGGTCTGAAGGGTAGGTGGCCACACTCCTCCTGGGGTTTACAATGGCCTTGAATTCTTCTCCTTTGCCATAAACTGTGCTCTAGTAGTTGTGTCCAACCTTGCTCTTGATTCCCAACTGTAGAACCTAGAATTCCAGGGTAGGCTTCGGATGCAAGCCTCCAGTCTTGGCACAGGTGTGGCTGTAACTAACCCAAGCAGGCTCTTATCTTCAGTGCCTCATTCATCTATTTTCTTCCCGTAGAATGACGAGAGCAACCCTGATTGGGCCCTGAGGAGCACAACATCATGCCACAGCCAAAAGGCAAACTAATGCATACTTCACAGTGCCGGTTAACAGCAGAGACTGGATTGGCTGTAGCTAATCAGTTTTATCACTTCATAAAAGCTTAGTTTCTGGTTTCCAGGGAAATAGTTATGAAAAACAAAAAACTGGGAAATCTGTGGATGCCAACACCTAGATATTTGTAGTATGATTAACTAAATGTTTCCAGGCAATCTCTGTATTAAAACCGTGTGAAGGACACTGCCACAGTAAGGTTTTTAGTTAGAGCAGGGTCCAGTTGTTCCCTCCCAGGCTAGGTTTGGAAACTATAAAATCTGGGGCTGGGAATGTGGTATAGTGTAGAGCGCTTACCTAGAATGCATGAAGCCCTAGGTTTGATTTCTCAGCACCACATACACAGAAAAGCTGGAAGTGGCGCTGTGGCTCAAGTAGCAGAGTGCTAGCCTTGAGCATAAGGCGCTCAGGAACAGTGCCCAGGCCCTGAGTTCAAGCCCAAGACTGGCAAAGGAAAAAAAATACTATAAAATCCAAGGTTTTTAGTAATGGAATACAAGGACCCTCTTGAAATGACCCTTAGCTGCTTCTTTCTCAAAGACCATCCTTTCCCAGTTTCTCCAAAATGTGCTAGTTCATCCCTTAGAACCTTTGTACCTGCTGTGCCCTCTCAACCTCCAGCTATTGCTTCACTCATCTGCAGGCTGTTCAAGGTTGTCTCTGGGGGAGACAACAGTCAATGTCACACTGTCATCTGATTCTTGTCTAGGATGGCCTCTGCGTGACAGGCTCTAGCCCCTATGTGGACCACAGCGGTGTGCTCAGCACACAGAAAGCATTCTC